GTATCGAATTTTTGGTCAAATCTTAAATAGGATAGGGAAAATCGAAGATTTTGGTCATAAATAGGGTAAGGGTTTAGGGAAGCGGGCCACACACCCCCACCCGTTTTTTTCTGGGAGTACCCCCTGGCATGTGGTACAATTATGTAACACGTAGCATGTTATCTTGCGATCGCCACAGCAGATCAGTGAAACTTTGATCTGCGTAACTGTGCTTATTTTTTTGTTATGTAATTCTAATGCCTCTCGTAAATGGAACTCGGTGATTGGCTGTTCTGTATTGCAGGTTGTTCATCCGCTGCTACATTAATTCACCTTTATCACTTTTAAGTTACATAACAACTTATCTCGGACTGATTGGAGAAGCGTCAAGTTATATTTGACACGTGGAGTGTTGTGAAGACCAATTCTGTGGCTCTTCCTTACGGTTTTGTGATCACGCGCATCAAACAGCGCGCCGCACCTTTGCCACGTCCCTCCCATGTTTTGGGTGTTATCGGTTATACAAAACAATTTGCACAAATCTTTTATTATGTAACATATAAAGTCCCCTGCTAACTCGTGTCGGTTGTGTCATTAGCAGCGTCTTTAGTAAAACATACTAGTGAAATCATACTGTATTTGATTAACTAACAGAGTAAATTCAGTTGATCGTGAGAGATGATGACTCTAGCGATCGTTTCATCTTCATAAAGTCCGTTGTAGTTACATAACAAATTCAAAACGCGAGTTTGACAGTTAGGATCAGACTGTTATCTTCAGGAAATTGAAGCCCAAATGGAAGGCGTTGTATGTTATATCAACCTTGCTAGACCAAACAACTTGACTCAGTTGCACGAAGCGTTCTTTGGATCGGTAACATTTGAATTTGCTGCTGAATTATTGCACTTACTGAATTGGAGAATATCATAAGACAATTGCTGCTGAGGTGGAGTTTCCACTAAAAAGGTTAGACAATGAAATATGCCATGATACCTTGAAACTCATGTCATGATAACTAGTCATTGCATTAGAATTCGGGTGCAAATTTAGTACAACGAGTACACTGTTAAATTAAACTGACCACAATGTTTCGAGATAGTTTTCACCAAAAGGAAAATCAAAGACCATGGGCTATTTTCACCTTTTTTTTTTTATTTTGGCCACCTACAAAATCTCCTTTAAATGGAAGAAAACCTGAAAATAATAGTTTACTAAGATAGAGAAGCATCAAAGAGATAACAATAAACCATAAAGGAACAAGGATGGTCAAGGATGGCGAAGATTGACTCGGATTGTAAACGACGAATTTGAAAAATTTAGGCCATGCTAAACTTTTCAAAATGTGCAAACCGTGACTTAGCTCCTTAAGCCACACAGTCTGTACCTCCCTCCTCCGCCACATCTAAGCTGGTACAGGTACACCATTCATGATCAAATCATAACTTAAAAGTAGAATCAAAGATGGTTAGTTTAAGTATCCAGCGGATAAGTGGATACTGGAGCCGCCTCCCATTTTCGGAATTCAAACTAAACTAGAGACTTTCTTGGCCATTCTGTTTTTCGTCGACTACCGCTCACTGTCAGACTCACAAAGCATTTGGCAGCATAATTCTGCATGACTAACTAAACTACAATATTCCGGAAATTGCCAGTTAAGTATATTCATCGTACATATTTATTTTTTTCTAGTTTTTCGGACCGAACAGCTATCATCCCACCAAAATTCTATTAATAGGAAAAATTAAACAACATTACTTGATTCCAATCTAGCTCAAGAGAACTAGACCCATTTGACAACAACAACCAAACAATCCTGAGTGAAATCAAGCAAAATGCAAATTCCACGGAAAGAATTTCCGAAATTCCGAAGACTGTTAGATGAGATTAAGAGAGTAACAACGTTTCAGAAACTTTGGGAACTGGCTTTGCGCGGTGAAAATCCAACAAAACGTGAGTTATGGGGTTTGTTACGTAAGCAAAAGAGGCTGTAATATTTTGTAACAACATAAAGAAAAGCTTGAACGGGGTCTAAACTTGTTACATAACAAAGAATGGCAAATATATTTGACAAATTGCCAGTATAGCTGTCAGGATGGACCATTACATTGGAAGTTGTGGAGGAGGATGGGGGGGCGGGGGGGATGCTGGGGATGCGGGTGGGAAGGCTTAGGCAATATTTCTGGGTATAGAGTTTTTCTTTTGCATTTAGGCCGTGCAGTAATCTATTTCAGTTTGTTGCGTATTTTTAGTTTGCCTTGCTCGCTTTGCACGATTTTTTGGTTGCTTTTTCTTGCGTAGGATGTTTTTTGTAACTGCACCAAAAGGGAACTCCCTTCCAGCTGTTCAGGAGAAACAGTGACAGCTAGGCTTAGATTATAATTATTTTCATGACATTGAGGACAATATATGCGGTTGCAGTTATATTACTTCAGCTGTTGTTGTCAGTGTTCCAAAATGACAACCTTTGTCAAGTGTTTTGCCGAACTTACAGTCACGTAACAGTTCGCTCGAAACGCTATCAGTAGGGGAATATTGGAAAATTACCCGACTGGGAATGACATATCATAGATATATACATCTTTGTTTGATTACTCAGGACCAGAGTTATAGTGGCAGCTAAAAGTTGATGTGGACGTGTTAGTTACTAATAAAACTCTGGAAAATTGCGAATATTAAAATAAGATTACATAACGGGAGCGAAATGGTAAAATAAGGAAATGGTCAGTACAACGGGAAAACGTAAGACTGAACTACAGCATGTTTGTGTGTCAGCACTGAGCATGATTCAGTTCTTGTTAAACTGATTTTCTCCATGCAGTGTATCTGTTGGACTTGTTCTTATTTGGGCTCTCTTGTTTTTAAATACTTAATTCATCACGTGCGACCGGACACCAAGTCTGTATCTTGTGGCAATTTCAACCTAGAATGTAGCCCTAGACTGAACAAAATGACTTAGTCAGTTTACCAAGAGCTCCTTCGATGTGAAAAGCGTATATTCTGTCGTGACTGGAATTTTTGAATTGGGGGATATAAAATAAATACCATTAGTTGAAGTTGATCGATGTAGTTTGCTCTTTATAGAGCATTATAGATGAGGAAGAATTGATGAAAGTTGTCCGTTTTCTGTTCATACTGTACTGCCTTTCCCGACGTTTCATCCTGTTGATTGCAAGATGGTTTCCGACAACGTTTTTTTTAATCAGTGAATTGAACCAACCAGACCAGTCCTAATTTCATTTTTCGATCACAACATTCTTCATTATGTGCCAACTTTCTTAAATTTAGAGAGCGAATTTGTGCACAGCTACGGAGGCCTTGATGTGAAGGTTCCTGATCCTGTCTAAATAGTCAGCTGTATTCAGCTCATTCCCTGGGCCTGCGCCTGCGCCTGCGCCATAACACATGTACACACGACAGAGCTTTTGGTTATGTAATATTTTCGGGTCACACTCACTGGTTATATAACTACAAACGTGCAGTTTCACATGCGACCTTTTCACTTGACTGAAGGCAGGGGCTGCGCTAAAGCGTAAACAACTGTCAAGGCTGCAGACGGGAAACAACATTGATCTTTTTGAAGATGTTTAGACAGAAAATACGTGCATATCACGAGTTGGGCCTATGGTTTCATATTTTTATTTCGTGTGTTACTGAGTTAAAATTTCGTCCAGCTTTCAGTCTCAAAACTAGTGGTTTTACCAGTTCCGAGCCCGGAAGGATTTATTTCGTGGATAACGGCTAGAGACAAGGATGGCGTACATTCACAAGTACTGCGCTTCCCTGACTGATTTTCACAGTTGAGTAAAAAAAAAAAAAAAAAAAAAAAAAGAAAAAAAAGGGCAAATAAATAGAAACCAAGTTATAAGAAAGGAAATAAAACAGCTATTGACTCAAAACACAAATATCAGGCTCCCTTGGGTCTAACATTGGTCCTAGATGTTTTGGTAAAAGTAGAAATATTGGGTTCATTCTTGTTGCAAAAAATCTGACGTACCGTGTCAACGCTTTTATTGACGGTCAGAATTTTTGGACTACACATAGTGCTGTACAAGTAATTGAAAAAGTAACTTTCTTTATGAGTTACTTAGTGTTATAACACACAATCCTTTTTCTGTATAAGAATATATTTCATTAGAGTATTTCATTAGAGTAAATCTGCGAAATTTAAAGGATATTTTAAGAACACACCAAAGGCTGAGGGTTTGAAAAGAATATCTGTTTTGTGTGTTGAAAAACAGTTAAATGTTTTTAACTTAACCGTGTTTAATTCTNAGAAAGAAAGAAAAGAAAAGAAAAAAAAAGGACGAATAAATAGAAACCAAGTTTATATAAGAAAGGAAATAAAAGAGCTATTGACTCAAAACACAAATATCAGGCTCCCTTGGGTCTAACATTAGTCCTAGCTGTTTTGGTAAAAGTAGAAATATTGGGTTCATTCTTGTTGCAAAAGATCTGACGTATCATGTGTCAACGCTTTTATTGACGGTCAGAATTTTTGGACTACACATAGTACTGTACAAGTAATTGAAAAAGTAACTTTCTTTATGAGTTACTTAGTGTCATAACACACAATCCTTTTTCTGTATAAGAGTATATTTCATAAGAGTATCGAAGCTGAAATCTGCGAAATTTAAAGGATATTTTAAGAACACACCAAAGGCTGAGGGTTTGAAAAGAATATCTGTTTTGTGTGTTGAAAAACAGTTAAATGTTTTTAACTTAACCGTGTTTAATTCTTCTTTCACTCCCGTTTCTCTGAACAGCAAAATTAGCCGAAAAGCAACAAAAACAGCACTAGCCGTATGTTCGGTACTAATAACATTTCTAATTAAGTCATGTGAAAATCTGCAGAAAAATAAGAATATTCAGCCTCGGCCGGAAAAACAACATCCTTTTGAATAAAAAATAGTGTGCATAGACAGCTGCCGTGCGCGTGACTTTCACATGCCACGTTTTTGGGAGTGGAAAATATCTACCTGATTTCCTACATGATTGACATGCATGTCCTCGAAGTCCTCGAGCTAGAAGTCCGCTGAATGAACCACAGATTATCATGCTGTACGACGTCTGACAGGGTTCGTTCAGATTTCTTTAACTTGAGTTTCTCCAGCGCGAAGACTGCCTTCCTTGAGGTATTTAACACGTCAGTCGCTGTTATTATAAACTTTGCTTGGAGGTAAATCTCGAGGTGTGCGCCATGTCACGTACACAAAACAATTTCGGAGAACGGTAGCCTGTAACGAAGACTGCAGGCTCACGCGCTAGAGTTTGGGAAATTACAGTTTGTTTGGGTAAAATAAGCTTACAATTTTAGAGGTAAAACTGTTGAAACCGCGGGGAAAGGTGCGAGTGTAATTACGGTAAGGTGCATTTTTGTCTTGTAGACCGTGAATTCCCGCTGAAAAAGCATTAGCTTATTTTTATAAATGTAATTCAGTTTAAGTATCTATAGGTGTTGATACCTATTGTCGGACATTACCTATTCTCGGACAGCTGAGGAAAAGACTTGGAGTTTGGAAGGAAACCTCGTCAAGCCAAATCCAGCTTATTCCTTCGATAGCAGTTCTCGCTCGTCTTGAGTCTAGCGATCGATTTTTATCCAGACCCGTTTTAGATTTAGGGTTTCCTGAGGAAAAAGCTTGCGATTCGTATTTTACGGAGAAAATGGTGCCTTTTCCTTAAAACTAAAAAACTAGGGGGCCAAGTGACCAGGACAACCTTTGAACAGTTTATGTTGACTTTCATGTCATCTTCAACGCGAACCATTGAACCATTTCAAAAATACGTATAAAGCCACAGATCTAACAGAAGGATTTACCTTTAAGGACAGGTGTACATTGTGCATTTAGGTGTAGTAAGCGTAAGCACCGAAGAGTTTTTTTTTA